GTCCTAGATGATAAGACCTTGCCTTTGCCAACGAGAGCTCGTTTTGCTGCCTGTTCAACTGTGAGATGTGAGAATTATCTCTAGCGCATTGCTTGAGTAGTCCAGGATGCCCAAGCCACTGCCCCATATGTTACTTTTGGACGTACCATCATGGTGTACATCCATCTCAAGATCCTTGAGGTGTATCCCTAGGATTCGCGCACCAGCCGTTTGCATACCATCAGCGGTCTTGAGGGGCCGTCGCAATTTGAATCTTCCGCAGGAGTTTGGAGCACAGGATAAGACCCAGATACTTCAATTTTGTGACGATATTGGCCTCGACCCCATCCAAGGCTAAGTTCCTCACTCGATATATAAACTCAGACTTTCAAGCCGTTTGTACTTAAACTTTTTACATATGTACCTCAGTGGCTTCGAATTCGGTACGTCCAGTGACCTTTTACAGTTTGGTTTCTGTATGTTTTGCGTTTGACTCATAAAACTTTTAAACCAAAATTGGCCGATAATCGACGCTTTATGAAGTTGGTTAAGGGGCGTCCTAAGCATTTACCGAAAGTAGATATAAATATATTAAATAAATAAAGTTTTTAATTTTAAACACTAAAAAAATTGTTTTTTTAATTAATGTAAATAATAATACTTTCAGAGTTATTACTTTTAACAGCTTTCGTTACATTAAATAAACATTCAACATTTTTCTTGCTCTTCGCTCCACATATTTACATACATATTTATGTACTGTGTACATATATTTGCTATTGCCTCCAATGAATTTTTATTTTAATCTCCACCGCTTACGACCACAACAAACTGATTAAAACACAGCAAATACCCCATAGCAGTTGTTGGGGTGCCAAATTCAAACCCATTGCGCCACCATAACGAGTGTAATTGAAGGTTGAATTTGTCGACACTATCCAGTTGTAGTAATTGGAGACATTCGCATAGACGCCGGGGTAGCCACGCTCAGCACAACCATTGCCCCAAGAAACAATGCCGCCCAAGGTGCCGTTGCAAGCCAATGGACCCCCCGAATCGCCCTGGCAGGCATCTATGCCTCCCGTTTCCGGGTAGCCAGCACAAATCATACCCTCATCAATGGAACCTTTATAGCTGGCATTACATTGTGACGAGGCAACGATCGGCACCACTGCACCCAGTAGCTCCGCCCAGACTATACCCTGCGGGGGAGTTAAAAATTACTCTCAATAACTACTGATTTACAATTACTTACACTTTCAGTTATTCCCCAGCCAGTTACGGTGCAATTAACGCCCGTTGACAAAGCTAATTGATTGAGGGGTATAGGTTTTACAGTTGCATGATTTTCGGGTATGGAACCATCTATGAAAAATAATGCCACATCATTCTGAAGTGTAGATTGACTGAAATCAAGATTTGGCGCTACCTCCAATACATCGTATTGCAATGTATATGCAGTGACCTCATACAAGTAAACAGAACCCATGACTATAGTGAATTCGCTAGCGGAGCGATATGTTGTGGGCGTTATGTTGGAGCTGCAGAAAGGAGCAGGATTTTAACATATTTACATAATACATACATAT